GTGAACTACCGGCACTGGCTCTCTTCTGCTTTCCGAGGAACTCCTCCCAGGAAGATTTTCTATCACATTTTCAGCGTATCACCTGCTTTACGCCTTCACTCAGCAGGAATTCAGTTGAGGGAACAATTCAATCCTACTCCGAGCCTCCTAGGAGTAGGAACTAATTTTTTTTGGGCTTTTTAAAGTAAAGCTAGAAGCCTAGTACTAAACCACTTTTGGGCTTTAGTACTTTCACGGCCCACTGAAACTGGACTTAAGGATAGACCATCAAGTCAACCATACATAGGTTATGTTTAGTACAACTGATAAAAAATCTTTTTAAATTTTAAAAGTTTCGACTATACCAAACATTATATTATTTATTTATAACTAAATTTTTAGAATTTGTGAAAAATGTTATAACTTCTCACAAGTTAGTCTTTTATTTATTTTATTGCAAATCTCAGAAATATGGAATTAGTGATTCCATAAGAACTTCTCATTTAGGTTTTAATAAAATTAACATATTATTTTTATTTTATGTTTATTTTTCTTTTTATTTACAAAAACAACAGACACATAGTATCCAACCCATGCACTTAATAAGTTTTAATCTATTTTTACTTAATATATGTTGTTTTACTGTTTAAATTGTCAAATAAAGAAGTAGAATTTAATATTAAAGAAAATTTTTTATTAAAAGAATAATTTTTTATAGTTTTGATTATGTAATTTTTTAATTTTTTTAAAATAAAAAATAATATATAATTTAAATTATATTAAATTATACAACATGAACTATTAAATAAAGTGTCTTTGATATTAAGAATCCTCATTTTAATACTACTTGTTTATTTAAATGAAAAGAGTTTAGTCTCCTTATATAAGATATTGAGTTTAAGTTTTATAAATAAAAAAATAGACGCCGAGAGAATTTTTTCTTTTATGAGATTTGACGTGATTTAATTTCAAATTAATTAGATTCAACTTAATTATTGGATACATGAGATTGTATAAATAGAGAAATAAATGCCGAGAGAATTTTCTCTTTTATGAGATTTGACGTGATTTGATTTTAAATTAATTAGATTCAATTTAATTATTGGATACATGAGATTGTAAATATATATATATATATAAATATATATTAGTTCCAACTCTAAAAAATAATTAGATTCTTAAGTTTAAACTATAGTGTTTTATTTAATTAAAACTTCATTTAAAATTATCTTATTAAATGTTGATATATTAAAATTAGAGAATAGTACTTATTCATCTTATCTCCTAAAGATTAAGAGGAATATTATCTGTCTTATCTCCTAAAGATTAGAAAAAATATTCTTTTAAAATTACGTTACTTTACTTAAACACTTATTGAAAAATATTAAAATATTTTATTTTTAAAGCATGAATTAATATTTTTTTATCTTTTTTTTCTTAATTTTTTTAGAGATAAGACAAATAAGCATTAATCCATCAAAATTATAATAAATTTTTAAATTTATATACCAATATTAATATAAAATTTTAATTATTTTTAAAAATCAAAATTTATACACCTCTCTCTCTTAATATATATAAAATCTTATATTATAGTTCAACTTATAACAAACCGTAACATCAGGACCCTTAACAGAGAAGGGGAGGACAATATCATAGGGCCTTTCCTTTTAATGGTGATGATGGTTAGAATTTACTAATGGTGATGATGATTACAATTTACTACAAAACGGACTATAATATAATTTTTTAATATATATATATATATATTAAAATGTTTACAATCGCATCTCTCTTCCTTGGGGATAATTTGTTATTTGTTCCTGAAAAGGGCGATTTTGTCAAAGCAACGGCGCCAAAGTCTGTGCAACTGTAATCTCTTCTCTTTGCTCCCACACCGCAATCTCGAGTCAGGTACAAAATATCTCGCTTCTCATTTATTTATGTAAAACCAAGAGGTCTACTAAGTTGTTATTCAAGAAAAAATGTTGTTCTTTTTATTTGTGATTGATTGATTGATGCTCATTAAAAATTGCTGAAGTTTCAGGCAGATTTTTAGAATGTCTGCTGCTCAAACCAGAAATGCTGGAATATCATTTGATTCCCTGACAATAAACCCTCCTTTGCACCCTACCTATGGATTTAGAGGGCACCATCAAGCTGGCTCTTGCTGAAGATTCTGGGGATCGAGGTTCCTACTTCCCACCCATCCATTTTCAGTTCTGTGAAATCTTGTAATAGTTGTTTTATTATGATCTCCCAAGAGTTTCAAATTTTAATCCAGAGGCTCCAACAACCTTGGTGGTGACATTCTGTTCTAATTGTTAATTTGAAACATCTGTGGTTCAATTGCAGCGGACGTGACATGTATGGCCACCATTCCATTTGAAATGGAAGTGGAAGCTCATTTCCTGGCGAAGGAGGATGGAATTGTTGCTGGCACCGCAATTGCAGAGGTGGTGTTTCTAGAGGTTGATCCTTCTCTGAAGGTATAGACGCACTGTCTTCTGTGTTTCAGAGTTTTCTGTTCAAGTTGCCTTCTTGCCTGTTTGGATATGACTTTTCTTTTCTTTACATACTTCTCAATACCAGGTGGAGTGGTATCGAAAGGATGGAGATCATATTCATAAGGGACTGCAGTTTGGAAAAGTACAGGGTAAGCAATTCCTTTGTAGTAGGAGAAATGCAGTTTTATGAAAATGCTAGTTTTCATTTTATAAATCACAAATCCCCTCAAGCCAACTCGCTTTTATTTCTCTCCCAAAACAGGACGAGCACACAGCATTGTTGTTGCTGAAAGAGTGGTGCTTTACTTTATGCAGCGGATGAGTGGAATAGCAACCCTAACAAAAGTTTTTTCCTTTTTCTGTTTAACTTTGTTTGGAATAAAGTCCAGGGATGGTTTCTTGTAGCTTAGTATCTCTGTCATCAATTTAGTAGATAATATTGTTATATTGGAGTAGATAAGAGGCAATTGCCTTCTCAGAAATGAAGACAACTCAGTTATAGTGTGCTTTGTTGAATTTTTGTGAAAATGCAAGACAGTATAAGTGTACTTAAGCACAATTAGAATCACTTTCTTCGTTGAGACAAGTTCTTGTTATATCTTTCCTAAAGTTTGAACTTTGTCAGTACTGCTTTATGTTTCAGCGTTTTAGTTATATCTGGTTTTAAGACTATCTGCACCTCCATATATTTTGATTACATGGCAGATTCATAATTACTGATAAAGGAAAGAACACTAGGAAGATGCATTTTGCAAAATGCAAATTATGTTTCCAGTCATCCAGTGTGAAGCACATGGAATGAAAATATAAAACATCTACCTGCTACTTATCAGTGCCCTATCATTCTTAAATATGCTAAGGACATTTTCAAATGTTTTTTCTTCCTGCAGGCCATGGCTGATGCTGCACATCCTGCTTGCATTTTAGAGACAAGAAAAACTGCTCCAGGTCTACATTTGGTGGATAAGTGAGCAGTGTAGATCATTCCACCTTTTGATTTTTTTTTTTTTTGGTAAGTTGTTATTTCTTTTATATTGTATTGATAACCTGTTCTTGGTTGATAAATAGGCACTAATTGGTGGAGGAAGAAATCATAGATTGGGTTTGTTTGATATGGTGTTGATAAAAGATAATCACATATCAATAGCTGGAGGTATCACCAACGCTCTTAGATCCGTTGACAGGTATTTAGAGCGGGAGAATCTTCAAATGGAGGTTGAGGTAGTTTTTTTACTTCTTATTTCTTCATAAAATCAAATACATTCTCCAGTAGGTCAATTGATTAAAGTGGAAATTATTGTATTTAATTTCATGCAGTTCTAACATACCATACACTCATGATAAACTTCCTTTGAATGTGTTAACCATTTATGCAAGGTTTGTTTGACATGAGAATAATCTAAGTTATCCTGCCTTAGAAATTTGTGTAATGATTCAGAATGGCTGTTAGGCCTATTTTTCCTCTTGCTCTTCGTGTGTTTCTCTGATTACCTGCTTATGGAAGATGTGCATCATATGACAACCCTAGCTGATCAAATTAAAATGTCTTCTGCAAGGTTGAGACTTGGACACTTCAGGAGGTTAAAGAGGCATTGCAGTATGCATCTCAAACAAAGTCATCCTTGACCTGGATAATGTTGGATAATATGGTTGTGTCCTTTGCCAAATGGTGATGTTGATGCCTCTATGCTTAAAGAAGCTGTGGAACTGATCAATGGGAAATTTGAGACTGAGGTAACTGGTGGCTTTTAAATTTTAATTATCTGCCTTGTTTCTTTTATTTGGTTTATATGGACTTAGAAGAGCTATTAATGTTGTCTGCTTTACTTGTGAAGTATTAAGCTAGCTGACTGATGCGAATCAGGCAAAGATGTATTTGAAGCATATTATTTGCTCTATTGGCTTGGTTATTGTGTCTTTGAATATATTTGAAGCGTATTATCTGCTTCAATATTCCTGTTCTCTGGAGCCATGCTGTCAGTCTTTTCTGTTACCTGATGGCTTCTGGTTTGATAGAGTTTTGGTTGCAGGCTTCCTGATGCTAGCTACTAACCAATATGTTTTACTGTGACAGGCATCAGGCAATGTTACTCTAGAAACTGTACACAAAATTGGACAGACTGGGGTGACCTACATATCTAGGTAAGACAGCTTTTCTTTTGGTGTTGATAATGTGCTTTGTTTGTTCTGTTCGCATTTTCCATGCTAAATTCTTTTGGTAAACATAGAAGTTTTTCTTTACCTTAATTTTATTTAGACTTGGGGTGATATATCACATAAAAATTAACTACCCTTTGAGAGGATTTTTGCTTCTGAAGTTAGCTGTAGTGATTGTTTAAAGTTGTAATTCTGTCTAAAGACTCCACTAAGGTTATATTTTTCCTTTTAGTGTCCTTAAATGAGAAGGTCTCACTGCTTATGGTTAAGAGATATTTCTGCTTTAAATGGCATGACACCATAGGGAAGCTATTTGTAACTCAGGTTTGATTAATAGGGTCCTTAAATGAGAAGGTCTCACCACAGAGTTTTTCTTAAAACAGAAGGAGAAGCCACAGGAAAAATGTAAAAGGCTGTTGAAGACATTTGCTTAAATTAAACACTCCTCCTCCTTCCATCTGAAATTGTTTCTCCAAAATGATGGAAGTTAATTGAAGCTGGTGCTGGCATGTATGTTGTGTATCATATTTATGAAAGCATATTATGTTCTAGAGGCAGGGGCTTGCTATCTTTCTCTGAGCCTAAACAATTAATGAGAACTATTGAAGAAAGCATGCTCCATGGCCATCCGTATAATGACGGCATGAATCATAGAGATGAGGTCATGGAAAAAGTGGGCATAAGTTTAAAGTCGCCTATTTTTCTTTTTATTTTAAGTTTTTATGTTCTAAAGTTTGCCTCACCTTTTCTTGTTTTTTTTTTTGTTTTTTTCCCATTTGAAGTTGTGAATTCGTAGATGATAATTAGGTGAAGAAATTCAATATGATTCCACGGTCACAACCTACTTACCTAGTCACAATTATTATTTGATGGTTGAATGCTTGATTCTTTACCATGGTCTTTAACCCACTCCTGAAAAAGTAGATCACCCATATTTGAATATTGTTACAGTCAAAGATCCAACATTATCAAAAGGTGAAATTTGGACAAATTCATGGAATATTCTCAAAGAAATGAATTGGACTCAGTTATTTACTTATTTACTAGGAGCTTATTATTATTATTATAAGTTCTACACTTTCTGTAGCTAACATTTAGGTGTTGTAGCTACTTGTTACTGAAATTGCTAGTATGATTTATTGTATTCCGTGTGTTGATGTTGGCAGCGGCGCACTCACGCATTCTGTAAAAGCACTTGATATCTCCCTCAAAATTGACACTGAATTAGCACTGCAAGTTGCAAGGAGAATAAAACAGGCATAATCATTTTCAGCAACAATATCCCAATTTCACACAAATGAGGAACATAGAGAGCATGGTATTTCCCCAATCTTCTCGTCTCTCTAATTCTAATTGAAAGCTTGTGCTAATAATGGCGTGAGGAATTGATTTGATAAAATGCCAAATTATATCATTATGATACAACTGTATACATAAGAAAACTCTTGGTAAAGTTGTGGGGATGAAGTTCAATTTACCGACTCATACCCTAAAGTCTTATCAGAGTAATTACATGTATGGTGGAATTACTTTTCTTGTTCAAGATTCCAGAAATGATTTGATATTTCTAGATCTTTGTTTCTTTGGTCATTAGTGACGTTAATTTGTGGTAAAGTCTAGCTTCAAATGGGGTTAATTCTCCATTGGAGGCTTTGATTTGAGCGTGAAACTAAGAACGGCGTGATTAGTTAGAAACTAAGGAATAGATTCGGTGCATAATTTCTTGGGGCCAAAGTCAGGCTTCATGTCTGATGATGGCATAGCATTTTCAAGGCATTTTCTGACCTAATCACCATTACAGGACTACTTAACCTTTTGCACGCATTGTGGGTCTTTGCGGCAACTCAAAATTGCATAATCCAAGCATATCCTATCAAATTTCAAATGTATTTTCGCCAAAAAATCGCTGTCTGGTTTTTGGATTTAGAGGAAATGAGTACAAGTTTATTATCAATCCAGAATTATTTGAAGTTTTTGCTACTGTTAGTTGCATGTATTGGGTTGGCAATTAGTGGGTGTTGTTGTTTTGATTAATGATGCCACAGAATGATACGAAGGCAGTGTTTAGGGCCATGCCCAATTTAAGGAATTGGCACAAAACCACATAAGACTGTTCCTCACTGCTCATACAGGAGATGCCCATGGAAATGCTGGGGGCCATGCCCTCTTTACTTTTTGCTAGGAGAACTTCAGCTAAATGCCTAAATCTTTCCCCATTTATTTCTTAAAGATGGGGGAAGAGCAACTAACCCCTGACAACCTCCACCATAAAAATTCCTCACCAATAAAAATTTTCCCTTTTTCAAAATCTTCATTTTTTGGTCAATATTAGGATGCTATTAGCGGCTAATCGCATTAACTTCTTTATGTACTCAAAGAAAATCCCTCAACCTAGATTTAATGATTCACAACTACAACCTAGAACCCTCTATTGTATTTATTTCACCCTACTGGATGTCCTCTGTTATGTTTATATTTCACCAACTTTAATGTCGGCTCGAATCTATCATTAATCGAAAATTTCAATAGGAAATTGATTACTACTAGATCGCTAGGTTGTTGTCTGGTTGCGTCTCGTCAAAACTTTTAGCCTATGTGCATTACAGTATATGAAGAAGAAATTAAACGCCCATTGAATAATCTGGATTAAGAAGGGTTTAGTAAAAAACTACGCAATTAAAATCCATGTGAGGAGATTCCACAGAGTTTTGAACGTGGTTATATATATATTGGATCGGGCAGCTTATCTCTTGATTGCTATTTTCTAATGAAAACAATGGTGGGGAAACGTGAGTTTTATACATTTCATTATAACAAGATGATAATGAACCCCACTTAAAAAAGGACCACTTACAAGAAGGGAAAGGTAAAATCCAATGAATAATTCAACACTTTTCATTCTTTGGTAGCATAAGTCTACAAAAGGCAGAAGAAAAACTTATCCAACAAAAACATTGCTACTTTTTTTTTTTTTTTTTTTAAATATTATTATTATGCTAATAGATGACATTTTGAATAGTATTAAGATAAGTTCCCCTCTCTGGTCTAATTTAAGGTATTAAATGTTTATTATGATTAGATATTAACATGTAAAGCAAAGTATTTCTGCTTTCTAGACCCTTTAAAGATTTATTTGCTTTCAAAATGAACCAAAAATGAAGGGTCAACTTCCTCTTCTTGGTTACCCACCCCACTAGAACTCCTTGGATTGTTTGCTTGAGGCAGCATTTGATGTGGGCATTCTGCCTTTGATTTCCTTTTCAAAAACCTCAAAGTTGGGATTGAGACTCTTTTCAGATAAGAAAGGGCGGAAAGAATAGGCAGTGGAAGTGTAACATTCATGCCTTTTTCTACGCACCTCTCCACCGCGTTCACCATACGTTATGCCACTTTCTTTGCCAAAATGCGTAAAATCTTGGTAGCAAAGTAATTTTGCAGATATTTTGTAATTACTGCTTAATAATTATTTGAAAACCAAGCACGTTTAACATTTTTCTTTGTTTTCTCTTTCTCGCAAGTAACATCAATCTCTAAATCCATCCTCATGACTTAATATACTGAAATGAAATACATAACCTCACATGATGGTTTCCTTTTTCTTTTTTTTTTTTTAATCTTAAGTTGGGTAATGATAAACAACTCTCTTCCTATTTATGAATTTATTTTACTTGTATATTATACGACTCAAATTTAAGATTTATTATTTCTGTTTGAAGAAAATTATTTTTGAATTACTTAAATTGTTGACTCAAATGATAGATTTTTGATAATGTAAAATTTAATTAATATTTTCAAAACAAAATTTTGAGAAGTCTTATAATCAAATCTTTCCATCTTATTAAAGTATTAGAAGAAAATTATGTTGGATATGTAGTTACTTTCATTGATTTATATATCAATTTTTGTACGCACACATGAAAAATAAGTAGTAATATACTCATACTTGAAGGGCATGACCTGCTAAGTACCGCCAACCATATATAAAGTGATATTATCAATTGGACAATAGCTCCTAATTAAGGGCATTAAAGTAATGACATGTGCTGTCAAAGCACAGAACATTGTTATTTTTGACAGACAGGAAATCATTTTCATATGTATGTGCTTGGGTCCTGCTCCCTCCCCCCACCAAAAGTTGAAAGTTTAATCTAAACATCTAAATCAACGAAGAAAAGAAATTTGTTCATCATTTTCAATTTGGGTAGTGTGGGCTCAAATTCTCGATTAACCAATTAAGTTTCAAGTTCAATAAACCCATATCCCATATTTAATTAATTTTATAGGAAAAATGAAAATGATTATGCTAATTAATTAAGAACTATATCTTATGTAGACTAAATTGAGAGTCTACCAATATAAAAAGGTCAATGTGGCTTAAAGGTTGAGTTTCTCCTTTTCCCCTTTTAGTACTTCTAATGATGTACTATATAAAAAATAATTATTTTATCTTATTAAATTTTTACCCACATAATTTAAAATTAAAATTTAATACCTCAAAATTAAAATTTCAAGTTTTAACTCAATAAACTATTCTCGTAATTTATAATTTTGAACTAACGTTTGTGCCATGTACAAATTCTCTCTCTCTCTCACGTAAAATTGGGATACAAGAGACAAGAAACTAAGAGTCGGATATCCTTAAGTTGTGAAGACTAAGAAGAAGATGAAACCTAAGCCGAACTCCTAAGCAAACAAATTAAATTAAGATGGTGCTTTCCCCGTAAGCAATTCCGTCAAAACCACATCATGTTTCCCAGAATATAAGAAGGGAAAGGAAAAGAGGAAAATAGAAAAGTGGAAAACAGAGGAGAAAAAAAAGAAAAAACGAAAACGACGAGTCAAAGCAAAGGCGTACAAGGGTGAAATTCATACCAAAATAATGTTAAAACAGAGTACATGACTGGGGGTTTCAATGGATATTGCTGGAATTCTCTGTTTTTTCTTCTTCAAAAAGCGAAGGTCGGTTCCCAAACTTTCACATCATTTTTATTTTTTCATTCAATTACAAGCTCCGAATCCTTTCATATTCCTCGTCCCCATTATATCTTTTCATTTCGAACGCAAAATTCCAAGGAAAAAAAATACAAATTGCGACAATTAATTATCAGGATTACACCGGCACTCAGCACTCTGATCGGGACGATTATGATATTTATCTACCTGTTTAATTAGTGAAAGCAATTGTAAAGTGATTAGTGATTAGACATGAGGGTTAGTGGGAGGTTTATGCAATTGTTTTGCACCGTCCTCTCCTCTAATTACTTTCTCGTAACAAATCATTAATAAAACGAAATTAAAAGAAATAAGAGGATTAACTAATTATTTAAATAATTTCAGTGGTTATCTTTTTTTTTTTTTGTTAAAAATAAAAAATTTTGAATTCAAGTCGTATGATATACGAGTAAAATGAAATACTAGATATGAAATACTAGATATGAAATGATTGTTTTTTATTGTGTAATTAAAATAAATAAAAAAGCTTAAAATTTTCTACAATTGAGTACTTTTTTTGTTGTAAATGTGATGGTACGTTTTTTGGTATTTTATAACCACAAAATCTTTATATATTACTTTTACATATCTTAAGATAAAAATTTTTTAAAAATAATTTTAAAGATATATCTCTTATAGTCTATATTTAAAAAAATTAATTTTATTAATTATTAATTTTAAGACTTAAAATTAAACTTAATTTCTAAAATAATATTTACTTATTAATAAATTTAACTCTTAATTTAACAATTAGCTATATAACATAAAACTAATGGAATTTTTTTGGATAAGATGGATCCATCTCAAGAATCTTTAATTGGAGATTATCCATGAATTTAGTGAGGTATGAAATAGGATCGCACTCTAGGGTCTAGTAAGTAACATTTGTTCACTTTTAAGGGCTAATGTTCTTCCGAGAGCCGATGATGACACCATAACATCACGCCTAAGCATTCTTAGGCTTAATTATTGCTTTTTTTAAAAGGAAAAAGAATACTATTCATAAGGCACTTAGAAGGTAAAGGTTCATGGTAAAATTTTTTATGTTGGCCACGACAAGGTTTATAATGTTGTTTAGAATATGTATGCCCTCAATGGATGGTCCTAATCACAAATACCATCGATGTTTTTTGAAGGATTATTAATGAAAGCGCCATCCACTCCATGATGACTTGAAAAAAGTTGTTGCTAATGGACTTTCCCAAGTTGATTTACGTAATTCAAGACGCTGGTTGTATCACCTTTACGGAAGATTTGACGTCCATATGTATGGATTATTAGTATAGATGGACCTACATAGGTTGGATCTTTGTACCCTTAGTTTGAGAGGCATGATTAGGGTAGTATGGGATTCTCCCTTCCATGCCATACACTGTTACACCAATCAAAAAAGTAAGGAAAAAATAAAAAATAAAAGAAGAAGACTCATATTTTCACATGGAGATGAGTCACAAATGAATGTACAATATGTAGAGGTGGCTGTGTTTTGTCCCTGTGCTTGTGTAGGAATGATGTGGTTCTGCAACTGTGGAGGGGCATCTACTCCCCCATATAAAAATTCCCAATTTGTTCACGCCAAGAATCAGAGGCACACATTGATAAATCAAATCTGCCATTTATTTAGAAAAATGCTATTTACATATAGACGACTGGGAGGTAGTGAGAGAGGAAAAAACAGAACTCAACAAATAATTAAAATAAAAGCTCCCCCTTTCGGCACCTCACACCTTTGCAAATGTTGTCTTCTTACCAAACTAAAATTCCAAATAAATGCCACCAAACCCACCTTACCTGTTAAATGTGCATTCAAGATATCCTATCCCACATCACCTTTTTCCCAAAATATGATTCGGGTAATCGGGTAGAGATCAATTCTTTGATAACTTTCCAGTCTTTAATTAATTTAACTTTAGATGCCATGTGAGCATGTCTCAACAATTAGAGCTTGAAATAAATAATATATTTTAGGGGTAAAATACAAGAGGGGGAGAAAAGGAACAACAATGTCCCTCCCAAAGTTGAAAATTCAGACTTATACGACGGACAATTCTTATTGGTAAGGGGGCAAGGCCCTCATTGTAGGTGCATGAACTTAAAGCGTTTCAAATTAGAGGTTTCTAGTAATCAAAAGGAATTTAAAGATTATTTTAAGAAAATGAAAATGACTTTATTGTAAAATTAATAATTATTTAATTTTAATAAGATGATTTAGTAATTAGAAATTTGAGATTCTAAATTAAAAATTTTAAATTCAAATTTTGAGTAAAGTAAGAAAGTATTTGAGCACAGAGGATGACTATTTCCTATATAACCCAAATTAAATGTACAAAAAAAAAAAAAGTTAACAATTATCCTCTTATTTAATTTGTTTTTACCATTTTTTTCTTAAACTTGCTGGGAACGTGAGACTCAAGTATGAACGTGGATTTGGATTCCAAAAGCCAGAAAATTCTTCGAAGTACTTCTGTCAAAGAAGACTGGCGAGATAACCCATTTAAAGGCCCAAATTCTAAATGTTGTCTTGTTCAAAAAAAGAAAAAAAGAAAAAAAGAAAAAAAGAAAAAAAAGGTATACGTTGTCAACAGAGCGTGTAGCACACGCAGTTTGGAAAAGCGTGTTAAAGATGGTCATAAAATGGAATCACGCAAATTCTAATCCAAACATAATCCATCAACTCACAAATACCGAAGCTGACTAAGTTGCCAATACTTAAAAATAAAAGTCCTTATAAAATACCAAAAAAACGTTGTAGTGTTTCAATTAGTGAAAAAAATAATAATTGTCATATTGAACAACTATTTACATGGAAAGTAATTTTGAGATAATTTTTTATATTATTTTTTGATATAATTTGATATATAATTTAAATGATTAATTTTTTTATTTATATAAAATTTATGATATTAAATATATTTATTTATGTAATAAAATATAAAAATTATATCAAAAAAATAACATAAAAAATTTATCTTATATCATCGTCCTTATAGTTATTCATTATAACCTCACATTTATACATGAGAGTAATGTATCTTAATGCAAAGGGTTTCGTTTGTTATTGCAAAAAAGAAAAAAAAAAAGTTGTAGTTGTCTTTCACTAAGCTGATAAATTTTTTTCCAATCCATAATAAAAAGAGACTTCTTAATTTCTTCTTAACTATTGTTTCACATTTTCTTTAATTTAATTAAAAATATTATTGGCTTTCTAAATGTGCTTTATGTGCATTTATTTTATTTTTTTCTTATTGGTTTGTATAAAAAATGAAAATTAATTTTACTTTTATTGATTATTTAATTAAAATTATTTACACAATATTGTGTTAAAAATAAATTTTAATTTTATAATTTTTTATATAAATTAATAAAAAATATAATAAATGAAATCTTAATCCACGTCTTAAAAATATAAATTAAAAAAACTTAAATATTATATAGGGTTAAAATTCAATTTATGATGTGTAAGTACTATATTTCATTATTATTGATATTTTAAACAAATGGTTTCTTTTATTTTGTACTATTAGAGTAAAGTATATTAATTATGTTTTTATTAGTTATTATTAAAAAAATTAATTTCAATTTTAACAACTATTAAATTAAAATTAGATATATGTCATTAATATTCAAAATAAAATTACCTTTTATATTTTGTATACATTAATTTATATAATAAAATATAATTAATATACAAACCCTTTAAAAAAGTTATCACCATATATTAATTTTACTTGACTCATTTTACAAGTTCTGTAATTCAAATGATTATTTTTATGGGATTTTCAAGTTTAAAGAAAAAGTATGCATGTGTTATATGACTAATCCCATTGCCTATTTTTTTTTTTTTAATTGTTATATGCCAAATCAAAATTTATGTACTGCAATTAAATTCTTTCAACCGTCAAATATAATAATAAAAATTACAATATTCTAAGCATCAGTTGAAAGCGATGGAGAAATAGACTCTTTTCTGCGGGTAATGAAGCCGTTCAAAAAAATTATAAAAAAATATGTATAAAAATTTCTCTAACATTCTAACCAATGAACACAATAAATCTTGAAAAATAGAGTCTCAAACTTTAATTAATAAAATAAAAAATTACTATAATTATTTAAAAATAAAATAAAAATATATAAGCATCCTGCTGACCAATCAACCCCAGAACGAGAATAAAAAAACAAGCGAATCCTCCTAAACCCTGATAATCAAAATCCAATAAAGAAAAGCAAGAGAGAAGAAGGTGTGCTTTTTTATTTTTTCGGTTTAATTGAAACCCATTATTTTATTGGGGAAGGGAAGAGAAGGGAAGGGAAGGGAAGGTAAGGTAAAAGAAATGAAAAAAGCAGCAACCCTTTGGGCCAAGGAAGAGAAGGTAAAGTACAGAAGCGATTGTTGTTGCGAAAGCCGTGAGAGCAGTGAGGAAATTGGTGTTGAGTTCATGGAGAGGTGTGGCGAGTCCGGTAGCAGAAAGGCGGTCTCCTCCGTACTCCTCCTTTTCCTCCTCTTGATCCTCATTTTGCCCCGTATTTAAATTCATTTTTACCATTTCTAAGTCATACCCACTTTGCTTTTCTTCCTCGTCTTCTTGAGTTCTACACTTTCTTCTTTGCCTCGATTTGTGTTTGAAAAAGTAATACCCAAAATATACTACAGTTATTCTGATGCTTGATTCGATCTCTGGATGCGTTCTTTATGAATCCGCGGTTGGTTAAGCATTGAAATTTAGGACTTTTTTTCTGGGTTTGGTAGATTTGATTAGGATTGGGTGATTCCGTGTTCTTGTATTTGTTGTTGTTGTTGAAAAATATATGGGTTTATTAAAGTTGTGATTTTGGTGTAAATAGGATGAGATTTGTGAATTAGGAACCTTTATGTGTTTGTCGATTAGTTGCAGGATTTTGCCATTTCCTCCTTCGATATATTTGCAGTTCCGGGAGGATTTTCTTTTCCTTTTTAAAATTACACCCGTTTGGGAAAAGAAACCAAAGTCATAATCAATCAATTGTAAGCTGGTAAAAACACATAGCCAAATTAACCCACCCTTTTTATTGTGGGTTCTATCAATCTTCTTATTGAGCTGTAGGTTTTTCCTTTCATTTTTGTTTTGGTTAAAATAAAGTGCGATACTGATTTGAAGAAGAAGAAGAGGAGGAGAAGGAGGTGATAGGATTTTGCTGGGTTGTTTGCATTCTTATGGGAATACCTGATAGTTCCATTATTAATTTAATAGACAAGGTTAGGTCTTGGATTTCTTGGGGTGCAAGTGATTTCATTGAGATGTCTGGCAACGGTTTCAAAATGTGTTTTGAATGTGATGCCAAGTTCACTGAGTCCTCCCGTGGATTCCATTGCCAAAACTGTGGCAGCTGGTTATGTTCAAAATGTCTTCAAGTTCAAGGTTTTGAATCTCCAGCTGTTGTTGAATCAGATGACGGGAAGAAGGACAGAGATAACTCTTGGGAGAGTGTCAAATCTTGTAAGTTTTGTGTTGGGGTTAATCCGAGGCGTCAAAGTGGGAGGATTTTGAAGTATTGCGAGAAAGTGCATCCATCCGTGTCTCCCCGAGAAAGCCCGGAGCACCCATCCCATTGTTCTGTGTATAGTGAATCGAACCATGGTGATCGTCTAGCCCACTATCGTGAAGCTCGTGATGGTGGGTATTCTCCTCAGGCGGTGATTAGCAGGAGTATGACTTCGTTTAATGCTTACCCATCGCTGGTGTCCACCCGCCTTTCACCCAGTAGGTAAGGCTTCAGCTTGAATTATAATCTATGCAGGGGAATAATTTCTGGTGCTTTAGAATGTAGATCATATCATTTTTTATGTATGTTGAAACACCCTTTTTTCAACTTGCCAGAGTTGGGTTTTGGTTTTTTCTTGCATGCTTTTCTCTTCCTCTTTTAGCGGTGAATGCTTATTTGTCTCTATTTACTCATGTAGGAGTGATGAAGAAGATGCTGAAGCTTCTAGGAAGCACTTTTTGGGTCCTTTTGAATATTGTCAGGATGTCTCAGATGTAGATTCAAGTAGTATTAGTGCCAGGAATGAATGTTACAGTTTAAAGTCAGTGGGATCAAGTCCTTCACTCAGCCCCTCCAGGAACAATTTTACTCCTCATAGAGTTGAGCATTGTGTACAGCGAAGGCAGGGAAGCCCAATGGCTCAGAATGTTGGTCCCTTTGATCAAGAAAGTACGGCTATCTTAAGAAGGTCAGAGATTAGAAGTGAGGAACAGGAGACTGCTGATAATTATGCTGATGACGTGTCAATTTTTCCAAACCAAAATGAGAAGTCACGAAAACCTTTAGATTTTGAAAACAATGGTCTTCTATGGTATCCCCCACCACCTGATGATGAAAATGATGAGATGGAGGATAACCTCTTGTTATATGATGATGAAGATGATGATGTTGGGGACTCTGGTATGGTCTTCTCATCAAGTGATAGCCTTTCTAGTATGTTCCCAGGAAAAGAGAGACAAAGTGAGTGCAGCAAGGAACCTCTCAAAGCTGTAATACAGGGGCACTTTAGGGCTCTTGTATCACAGCTGTTACAGGGGGAGGGTATAAAAGTTGAAAAAGAGGATAATAATGTTGACTGGCTTGACATAGTCACATCATTGGCATGGCAAGCTGCAAATTTTGTGAAGCCAGATACTAGCAAAGGAGGCAGTATGGATCCTGTTGATTATGTGAAGGTCAAGTGTATTGCATCAGGTATTCCAAGTGAGAGGTATGTGCTGCTGGACTATCTATGAATACGAAATATTTTAGTTTGTACCTATTTCCATGTCTCTGCTATTGATATATAATTATTTAATTTTTCATTCTTGCAGTGCTCTTATTAAGGGTGTTGTTTGCACAAAAAATATAAAGCACAAGCGCATGACCTCACAATACAAAAATCCGAGATTACTTCTTTTAGGTGGAGCTCTTGAATTTCAAAAGGTTCAAAATCAGTTGGCATCGTTTAAGACATTACTGCAACAGGTTTGCTCAACACTTGTAGTCAGAAGTCAATTATGTTTGTAAATAAAAGTTCTCTGCATGAACTTAAGAAACTTTAAACATTTGGACAGGAAAATGATCATCTAAAGATGATCACCTCAAAGATTGAGGATCTTCGCCCAAATGTTTTGCTGGTGGAGAAGAGTGCATCTTCATATGTCCCACAATATCTACTCTATAAAGAAATCTCGCTAGTACTTAATGTGAAAAGACCACTATTGGAGCGTATAGCCAGTTGCACTGGTGCGCATATTAGTTCATCAATCGATAGTATATCTACCTCAAGATTGGGACACTGTGAATTGTTCCGGGTAGAAAAAATATCTGAGGAACACGAGGCTGCTAATCAGTCTAATAGGAAGCCATCAAAAACACTGATGTTCTTTGAAGGATGTCCAAGGCGCCTGGGTTGCACGGTAATGTTTTCTTTTTGGTTCATAAGCAGTTTGTGGTAAATCAGTTCAATTTCTCATATCGTTTGGATTGTGAAAACTTTGAATGTTCCAACTGTTGCTCTCTTTTAGAAGAGGCAGAAGTGTATATGAACTTTTTTTCGGTTTATTTTCCTTCCCAAATTAGGGGAATAATGATGCCTTAATTGCTTTTGAACCAGAATACCTCTTCTTTTCTCATTTATTTCAGCTTTAACCTTTTTCATCAATGGTATTCCAATTTCCTTATTAGTAATAAATTATGTTTCCTTTCTAAGCAACTAATATTTCTTTGTTTAAAGACCTGCTACTCTTAGGCTCTATGTCTGCTCCCACATGCAATGTCTCTTCACTACTAATCATGTCTGACAGTCTTGAGTTGTGTTGTAAAGCATATTTTCCCTATAAGTCTTCTAGTATATACTGATTCAGTTTGAATAAAACAAAGTTGTGGAAAAGATTAAAAATGCATATAATATTAATGCTTTGCTAATTGATCCTCATTTATTTTCAATGATTTTTTTAATATTCTATTTCTTTATGAGCATTTTTGCATTATAAGTTATTTGGTATATTTACTTATGGTACTGATAAGATAGCATGGTTAAGTAAATCACAGTTTCAGGTCTACTTGGCAGAATTAATTAGCCCAATAGTTGACCAGTTGTATGATTTATATTTAGTTTGTAGAAGACTCTCTTTTTGGACTTTAAAAAGAGTTAATTATCCACTATTTCCAAGCCTGTATCTTTTGCAAAATCTGTGCCAACAGTAATCTTTCCTGTTATGAACTCTTGAGGAGGTTTTTGCTGTTTGATACTGATCAAGATTTCAATGATAAATGCAGTCTTGATATTTGTTTTCTCTAAATTTGTTGAGCATTGTCTTTTCTAAGTAGAGAGCTGCATTTCACTTTACAGGTCTTACTGAGGGGTAAAGCTCGTGAAGAACTAAAGAAGGTTAAACATGTTGTCCAATTTGCTGTATTTGCAGCCTATCACTTATCCCTTGAGACTTCCTTCCTTGCCGATGAAGGTGCTACTCTGCCTAAGATGCAACTGAAACACTCAATATCCGAGGGGATTACAGCTGATACAGCCATTGCAGATGTCCCTAGTTCTGTTTCTCCCAGTGTTTGTGAAGCAATAGCTTATTTGTCTGAACAGGTTGAGCTATCTCTGAATCTCAATACAGAGCATGGAGAACCAGAATTGTTCTCTGAGCATCATGATCAGGATAATGGCTTTTCTTCAACCCTTGGTTCTAGGAATTCTAGGGTTGACAATGTGCTTTCTGATGCATACAGTGACAACTTAGCACCTAGTGGAGCTTCAACGTTGTATTCCTTAGAACAAGGTAAGGATCTGAAGGATTCTAGCGAGCTGCCTCATGATTTTAAAGATATTTTGCTGCCAGAGTTGGAAGAAACTATTGCTCAGGGGGAGAGGCATGTTGGGGAGATCCATGAACTGACAAAATCTGACATGATTCATGGAGATGAAATTTCCAGTGAATACTTCTCAGCCACTGACACACACCAAAGCATATTGGTCTCATTTTCAAGCCGTTGTGTGGTAAAAGGAACTGTATGTGAACGCTCTCGGCTGTTGCGAATAAAGTTTTATGGCTGTTTTGATAAGCCACTTGGAAGATATCTTCGTGATTATCTGTTTGATCAGGTTACTCATTGCAGGCTCTTAACCTTTTATCTGATCGATGGTTGTATTTTCAAATTATACATGTCAAATGTTAATGCATCCTTTTTTGTCCCAGACATCTCACTGCCAATCATGTCAAGAGCCCACTGAAGCACATGTCATATGCTATACCCATCAGCAGGGAAATCTCACAATCAATGTTAGACAACTTCCTTCTATAAAGCTACCTGGTGAACAGGATGGTAAGATATGGATGTGGCACCGATGCCTAAGGTGTGCTCTTGTTGATGGAGTTCCTCCAGCCACTCGTAGAGTTGTTATGTCTGACGCTGCCTGGGGACTTTCTTTTGGAAAGTTTCTGGAACTTAGCTTTTCTAATCATGCGACTGCTAACCGTGTTGCAACCTGTGGTCATTCATTGCAAAGGGACTGTCTCCGTTATTATGGGTAAATGCTTTGATGTTTGGAAACTTTTATGGTCTACTTGGGAACACAAATTTGAGCATAAGGTTGTGTTTGTTTGAAGTGACTTTTTGGAGGAATCTCATATGGAGAGTATTTAAAATCCCTTACTATATTACCATCTTCTTTCAATAAGGTTTTGGTCTTAATACAAAAACTAGTCTTTTTTAAATAAGACACCTCAAAGGTGGTTTCTGAATTCCATGCTTAAAATTTTCCTCTGTTTCCTGAACTGCACTATTCCTCCAATTTGAGAAAAAAAATAATCTAGAAAGATTCTGAAACCCTTTGCACATATGAAATTCCTCCTGAAAATCCTTAATCCAAACACAATCTAAGTTGAATCTAAACCTTCAACTTCATATAGACTGTTGTTTTGTCAAAATGAAGAGGATCTGAAATTTGTCCAAACATAGTTGTATTTCCTAAAGCTCAAATTCATGTCTTTTCAAATGCATAACCCTGTATTTCAAAAAATTTTATTTGAACATTTATTTATTTAAATACATGTCATTCAATTTTATGGTGGTTATATTTCAGCCACACAATGTACTTCTAAAGCTGATTAGTTAACTCCAGAATTAAAGAGTACATAGCTCAAATACAAATTGGCATTCCCAAATCAAACCTTAGTATTCTTATCTGTTTTGTATGAAGTCCAATGGAATAACAGTTTTGAGGTTTTGATGTGATTGTGAGTGTCATTTGACAGGTTTGGGAGCATGGTTGCATTCTTCCGCTATTCTCCAATTGATATTCATTCTGTCCATTTACCACCATCATTGCTTGAATTTAGTGGGCATTTTCAACAGGAGTGGGTAAGAAAAGAGGCAGCAGAGGTTGGTCCATCCTCCCTTCCTTTCCTACAACTAATGGAAACTTGCACAGCTTAAAATTTCTGACCACCTTGTTTGCTTCTGCAGCTCATAGCCAAAATGGAAACCTTGTTTGCAGAGATATCTGATGTACTTGACAACATTGAACAGAAAAGTAATTTTCTTGGATGTCAATCCTCTGATTCCAGTGAGTTACTGAATCATGTTTTAGAATTGAAAGATCAGCTTAAAAAGGAGAGAAATGATTACAATGTAAGTATACATCATCACTTATTTGATCATTATGATGAGTTCTTTTATCTTTGTAATTTTGGATATATGGTTCTCCAATGATGAATTTTGTAAATACTAAATAGTATTATTGTAATTAGGGTCTGCTACAACCAGTAGTTATGGGGACTTCGCAAATGGGGGAAGCAGCTATGGACATTCTAGAACTGAATCGTTTGAGGCGTGAACTCCTGATTGGTGCTCATGTTTGGGATCATCAACTTTGTTCATTGGACTCCCTCCTTAAAAGGGGTTCTTTTGTCAAAGTTTCAGAAGTAGATTCATCTTATGCCCAACCAAAAGAGCTAAGAACTGATCATTCCAGGGATGTGAAGCTAGAAGAAAATGTCTCCATATCATCAGAATCACAGGAGCCTCCTAAGAATAAAATACAGTTGGAGCAAGAAGAGCCTAGATTACTAAATTCTGAATATGTTGTTCCTGATGAGTCTAACGTAGGCTCAGGTTATCAAAAGAAAGAGGATATGCATTCTGATGGACAATTTACTGTCAGCAGTACATTCTCTGAGAGCATTCCTCCTCCCATATCAACTTTGTCTGAGAGAATAGACTCTGCATGGACAGGTACAGATCCACTTCAATTGAAAGTTCAACCTGTGCAAGCATTTCAGGGAGATGGGCTACAAATTGGTTCTGTCAGGACAATTAGCAAAATTGAAAATCCTTTAGTTAGAAGGTTAGCATATCCAATTAGGGTTCATTCTTTTGATTCTGCTTTGAGATTGAAAGAAAGAATTAAGAAAGGATTGCAAGCCTCTTCACTGCATTTGTCAACACATAGATCTTTCCATGCTTCCGGAGATTATAGCAGTATGATTAGAGATCCTGTTTCTGGTGAATTGAGGAGTTACTTCCAGGCATTGCCACTAGAGGCACAAAAATTAAATTTGTTACTTAGTTCCACGCCCACTTTCATCTCCTCTGCATCTCGTATAGCTGAAGGTGCCAGGTTGCTTCGTGCTAGCAGTGATATTGTTCTTGCTGTTTATGACAATGATCCTGCAAGTGTAATAACTTATGCTCTCAGTTCCAAAGAATATGAGGAGTGGGTTACTGATGGGATCGTTGAGAATGGAGGACAATGGATTGCTGATGAGAGGAACAAGGAAGATTCTGCAGCTTCTACCTTTTCAGCTTGGCAGTCATTCAGCAGTCTGGACCTCGATTATGGAATTTATCCCTCTGAAGAAGCCACATCATCCATGGGTTCCGTCTTTTCAGATACCAAAAGGTCACCACATTTAACCATTTCTTTTGGGGATGATTCTATTGTTGGTGGAAAAGTGGAGTTTTCTGTCACTTGTTACTTTGCAAAGCAGTTTGATTCCCTTAGAAAGAAATGCTGCCCTAGTGAGGTGGACTTTCTGCGTTCATTGAGCCGTTGTCAGAAATGGAGTGCACAAGGGGGGAAGAGCAATGTATACTTTGCTAAGTCACTGGATGAGAGATTCATTATAAAACAAGTCAAAAAAACAGAGCTGGAATCCTTTGTGGAATTTGCTCCTGAATACTTCAAGTATCTTAGCTCACAAAGCCCAACTTGCCTTGCTAAAGTTCTTGGTATCTATCAGGTTCGATCTTATCCTTTTGTGCATTCAGTATGCACCCATATCCATGGGTGCATGGCCCATCCTTTATTAATGGGTAGCCAACCAAAAAAATCTTACCTATGGGTGCAGGAGCTTGTCATGAAAGTCAAAAACATTTTGAGGTTTCAGTCTGATTCTTTGGTATTTGTTTATTGCAGGTCTACATAAAACATTTGAAAAGTGGCAAAGAGAACAAAATAGATTTGATGGTAATGGAGAACCTCTTTTTCAGAAGAAGAATATCAAGGATTTATGACCTTAAGGGCTCTGCACGGTCACGTTACAATCCAGATACTACGGGGACAGACAAAGTAATGTTAGATATGAACCTAATAGAAACCCTACGTACAGAACCCATTTTTCTTGGAAGCAAAGCAAAGAGAAGCCTAGAGAGAGCTATATGGAACGACACATCTTTTTTGGCTGTAAGTTTCTTCTACTCTCCAAGTCATATAATATTCTAAATTTTGGGTTCACTTCTCTTTGGTCTATGAAGCATAGCATTATTTACCAACCTTTGATGTGCCTTGCCTTTACAGTCTGTCGACGTTATGGACTACTCGTTACTGGTTGGGGTGGACGAAGAACGCAAGGAGCTGGTTGTAGGAATTATTGATTTTGTGAGGCAATATACTTGGGACAAGCAGTTGGAGACTTTGTTTAAGGCATCCTTGGGACTTGGCGGGCCAAAGAATGATTCATCCTTGATACCTGGCGGGCCAAAGAATGATTCCCCAACAGTCATTTCTCCAAAAGAATATAAGAAAAGGTTCCGGAAGGCTATGACCGCTTACTTTCTTACAATACCTGATCAATGGACTTCTTAAGCTGTATCATTGCATTCTTTGGTTCTTTAATACAGCAAAATCTATTTATCATCTCCAATTTTCTCTCTTTCTTTCGAAATCCAGGACAAAAAAGTTAAATGTAAATTCCAGAGCAAAGATATCTCGAGCGCCTTGCATTCCTACCAATAGACAAGGAAAACATGAAAGCCACTCTCCCTCTTCCTTGTAGCCTTTTTGTCCCTCTTCTTACTGGACACTGATTCATGGAAGAAATGTATCTGTTAAGTTGTAAAAAATATCATTGAGTTAGTAATTTAGTATTTATCTCCTTCCTCGAAAAATTACAGATTCGGTTTTAAAAGAGGATAATGACCTAAACATGCTTGTAGTTGGAAAATGATTAGATTTCTCTTAACAAATGATTAATGTTGGAGAAGGAAATGTAAAAAATCTCCAAAGGGAACCTCTCATTTAATCAAAAGGATTAGACCCCGTTTAATGTCCTTCATTCTACACGTATTGCTCCTACCTCAGTAAAATCCTGCTTGGTCTCATGAAAAAATGGGATCAGGTTTGTCTCAAACCCAGGAAAACAAATTTCGATCTACGAAAGAATATTTTATATTCTCTCTAATTAAAGGAATTAGGATGCCTGATTATAAAGATAACCAAATATGAATGGAATTGTTTTTGATTTTTTTTAATTAAACTAAATATTGTACGAAAATAGTTAGAATTTTTCGAAAGAAATTAGGCTTTGGCAAGAAGTTGCGGTTGGTCATGGGTGGGTATTGTGTACACACTTTAATTAGCTATGGCCTCACCTATGGATGTATGACATTTAAAGGTGGGTGTCCCACGGCCAATAATAGGTGTCCAAGTCAACCATTCACATTCAAGCTACCGTAGAGAAATTTGTAAGGGGTTAGGTTTCCTCGTGCTTTTCTAGAAATTCAACCTTATATCCTACTTTATGATACATTTTATGAAAGCAAAAATGTTTAACTCAATTAATTAAAATTCTAAGATTTTAAATTATAAATATAAAGTTTAAATTTCAAATGAAGTGTTGATATCTAACTTTCACTTTAAAAATAAAAGATTTTAAATTCGAGTCGCATGACATATAAACAAAGTGAGATAATGAATGTGAGAGAGTTGCCTCCCATTTTGCAATCAATATAAAAAAAAAATGAAGTGATGATAAATTTTTTAAAAAACAATATATATCGTATCATTTAATGTTAAAAAAATATTATGATTATAATATCACGTAATACTATAATCATATAA